GCCGCCCTGCTCCCCGGGACACGTACCGCTCCCTGCGCCGTGTGCGATCTCACCGTCCGGCTCCTCCTGGCACCCAGCGAGGGAAAACCAGTGGGGAAGGTTCAGAAATGTCTATTCGTCTCGTTAAAATGCCGTTATCTTCAGACAGGTGATTTAGCAGACAAGCTGGCAATTCTGCAAAGATTTCCTCTCAAAAACTTCCTCCGATCGCGGCCCTTGCTGGGTTTACAAGGCCATGTATGATAGTAGGCGTCGCATATGGACCCCGATTTTAGGCAACGAGCCCTCGTTCAACGATCAGCCCCCCATGTCCCCCCTGGCTGCCAGGACCCCCGGCTCCGCACTCCTGTCCCGCACCAGGACGCGCAGAAAGCCCAGACTGCTCCACAGCCCCGGCCCAAACTTGGTTCTAACAACGGCTGTTGAGCTCTGAAAGACTGAGCTGCTCCTTCAGTACACAGGAAAATAAAAGGGGTAAGATCAGACAGTTTCTGGATACAAAAATCAGTTTGGTTATGAGTTAAAAAGATCAATGAAATCAAATAAATCACTGAAAGGGAGATAAAAAGCTCCACTGTAAGTTTCTACTAAATGTCGCTTTATTTGAACAAGAAAGGGAGGAATGAATGTGAGGAAAGCAAACAGTGTGAATAATCTCAGCCCTAGCGATTAATAATTGCTACTACTTACCTGACATCCGAAGGCCCCCGAGAGCCCTGGGGACGGGGCTCTGCAGCTCTGCTGTGCAAAGGCTCGAGGGGTTCATGTTAAACCCCAAGCATGGGGGCATCAGGCTCCTGCCCGTAGGCTCTCTACACAATCTCTTCTACATCCTTGTAATCCACTGACACAGCGCTCTGGACACACAGAGTCACACAGGAGCCACTGCTCAGTGCTGGGTGCCTGCACAGGAGCTCAGGCCATGCACCATCACACCCTGGACCAACGTCTTGCAGTGACCTCTTCATGAGGACAAACCAAACCACTGCACACCATTTCTTCTCCTCATCCTGCCTTTTTTTTTTTTTACAGGCAGAGCCGTGCAGGTACAGACCCACCCATGGGTTAGGACAGCACCAGCAGCTCGTGTGCTGCCACTGAGCTGTGGGAACTGAGAGCAGGAACTGCCACACCGTACTGCTGGAAGGGAGAGATGAAGCACATCTGCCTAAATCACAAACTCCAGCACAATGCATGACTCATTCTTGCACCTAGTAAAGGAATTGCTTTTGCTCAGGCAGCACCAGCAGCTGAATTTTATATCCAGTTTTCCAGCTTTGTTTGCTTCCTTCCAAAAAAAATGAAAAAGTGAGGCCTTGCATTTTTCAGACTATTCATGAAAGTTGTCTATTTCACTGTGCCTGCATGGTACTTAAAACACACCCCATCACAGAACACAATTTTTTCAAAAATAAGTGGGCAAAATCAATCTCTTAAAAAAAAAATTCACAAAAAAAAATCTCAAAAAGGGGGGAAAAAAAAGGAAAAAAAACCCTTTAAGAGCCCTATCTGAAGTTACGAATATCTCCAGGGTCATTCAAGCACATAAAAGCAGGTAAATTAGCCCACAGCATTATTTTCAAGTAATTATCCAACCAGAACAAATGCAAATGGTTAAATTTAATCTAAACAGACTGCACTGGGCAAACAGATTCTGAACTAGGGAGTCCACAGAATTGGAGTCCTAGGGAGTCCTAATTGTCTAAGAGTCACAACATTAGGGTATCTACCACTGAATTTCTGAGCAATATATTTTGATCAACTCTTCTTTTCCTCCTCCTTTTTATATTCAGTTGTCTGAATTGTCAGACAATGCTGCTTGGAAGGGAGCATGGGAGTCCATCCTATCCAGCCTGTGCTCAGGACAGGGTCAGCCAGGAGACCAGACCAGGTGACTCTGGGCTTTGTCAGGCTCCTGAAAACCTCCAGGAGTGGGGGCTGCACAGGCTCCCCCCTGCTGCACTGCTAGACCTCCCCCACAATGGGGACAGTGCCTCAGCAGGCTGCTGGAAGGTGACCAAATCCATCCTCCATGCCCTCTCCTGGCTGAGCAAGTTCCCTTCCCTCACCTCCCTGCCAGGGCTCCAGCCCTAGACCAAGCTGCTGGCCCTTCACTGAAATCCACGTTAAGGATGTCATTACTGTATTGGAGTAAACTTCATGGATATCTACACAAGATCTAGCAAGTCCTGAGAAGGAAATAATCACTTTCCTCAACTTCCTGGCTTTGTTCCTGCTAAGAGCCCAGGATGCTATCAGCCTTCATTTCTGCTGCACTTTTCCACAGAGCTGTCCCCACAGAGCCCATCCCAGGAGAACCCCAGGGGTTTCTCTTTCCCCAGGGCACAACTTTGCATTTGTTGCATTGAATTTAATGAGATCCCTGGCAGCTCCCCTCTCCCTGCAGATCAGCTCAGGTCTCCAGTATGTTGATAGGTATCCCTCCCCCAGCTGCAGCTACTGACACCTGCACACTTGCTGAGAGTGCACTGCATCACCTCCCCAGGTCACTGACAGGGATATCAGACAGGACAGATCCTGGTACCACACTTCTGACATGCAGAGCAAGACCCATCACCCATAACCTCCTGAGACCTACCCTGGCTTTATATCCTCACTGCTTTCCACCCATCCAGGTCTCAGCATCCTAAGCTGGGTGCTTGCCAGCCTCCTCCTATTTACAAGTGCTTTATCTTTTACTGACATAACACAAAAAGAAATGTCTCTGTCCAAACCTCCTCCATAGGCAGAATAAGCAATCCAACCACTGGAAAAGACCATTACTCATATCAAAGAGTGGAGAAGCAGGAAAACCACAGGAATGTCCTACACTTGACTTTACAGACAAGCTTGTTTATGCAGCATTGCCTTATGCCATAAGTGCCTGAGCAATTCAAGGAGTCATTACGCAGTGTAACAGATGTTTCAATACTTTACAGATCTAACTAGCAAGTACAAGCCACTCCATGCTGCTGTCACCTGCTTCAGTGCAAGCAGGAAAAGATTTGAAACCCCAACCCCATTTATTTTAAATCATTAACTTCTTTCTTCACCACTTGCCTCTCCTCTGTCCCCATTGCCTGTGCCTTTCCACCTCCCTGGACCAAGGCCGCCATCTCCTCACTGTCCCCAGAGTCCCTGTCTCAGTTTCCTCTCTCCCTTACTTTCACTGAGGGACACAAGCAGCCAGAGCCAGACAGGCCAAAACAGACATTTTCCATGGTCAGAGAGACCCAGGTGGGACTCTCCTGACTCTCACCTGTCTCCCGCTGGGGCTTTGCTGCACCTTGCCTCCAACATTTCATGACAAACATTTCCATTACATTTTCCATTTCCAACTCTCAACCTTTCTATCATACGATTTCAGGTTAAAACAGCAGGAATTTTGTACGGCTTATCTAGTACAATGTGATCTTTCTGTCAGCTGCGAAAAGAGATTGTAGATGTTAAAGCCAAAAGCCAAAATCCAGCTGTGATTCATCTCCAGCCTCACCCTAGAAACTTAACCTCATCTCAAATACCAGAGAATTTTCTAACTGAAACCAAAGGCTTACACACATGAACCATCATCTATAACCTCAACAGTCACAACACACTTTCAGCCACCATAAACAGATTTTCCTCAGCTGTGTATGTTTTTTACTGATTAACATAGTACAACAGCTAAAATAGAAAATACTATGTAGCTTCAGCTACTGAACCTGTGCTTAACAGCTGCTCACTGCCCTGTGGGACTGCCAACACTGCTTTTGCTCCAGGCAGATAAAGGAAGAGAGTGAGAAGTCACGTTGGCTTAGACCACCAGGGCATCCAGGCAAGGGCGCTCATCCCAGCCAACAGGGAAAAGGATGAGAACACACACACCTACAGGGATAGTCCCTCTGGCCATCTGTGGCCTTAGAGAGAATGCCTTTATAGTAACAAGAAAACATACAAGGAAGAACACCTCTCTGCTGTTTCCCATTGTATTCCTAAAAAAGGGGGAGAAAGCTTCTGACAAGAGCAGTCCTTCCCCAAACTGGCAGTTTGCAGTGTTCCTGTTAGAACAGCTCTTCCAGGAGACCCAGAGCAAGCTCATGCCCTAAACCTAACACATAACAGCTCTGCAGTGCCACATGATTTTCTGAATTTGACTGGACTAGGAAAGAGACAAATTATATTTCTGCCATTTTAAAACAACTCCCATATTTAGGCTTTTTCACAGAAGGCGCCATACCCTTGGTGTTAGCTCTCTCATCTGTAGCCTGTGGCAAGTTTTTCCATATTTTCCATCTTCCTCATATCAGAGGAGTGGTTCCTGAACTGCAACCCACCAAAGGAACAACCCATCCCCAGCAAAAGGCACACAGGGGTTTGCATTGCCCTTGTAATGCTCAATAAAGTTTAATGAGGAGGACGCCCATTCCTCCATTGGCCACTCCTTTTCATAGTTGCCTCCCACTTCATAGTTGCCTGTGCTGGAAAGGCAAAAAAGCTTGGGAGTCACTTTCTGCTTTCTGTTCCAAAGAAGAATGGTTTTAAAATGAAATTTTCCAATTACAAAATTCATCTAATCATATAACCAATTCGGATAACTAAGAAATTCACAAAAGTATGACTCTGCAGCAAATGACAAAGGTTCCAGAATTTTTCAAATCCCAGACACTAACTGGCTTGATCTTCTAATTTACACTGACACCACATAACAATGACCTGCCTACATCTGACATTAAGCATAATTTAATGCTTGTTAATCAACAATGAGGGGAAATGTAAGCCCTGTGTTCCTTATCTAATGCTTTCCTTTTCCTCTGCTGAGAGAGTTAGAGGATTTGCCTTGTTCTGTCTATCATCTCCTTTGGTAAATACCAATCACTGCAGTAAATCTGGTAAGCAGGCTGACTTCTGACCTCTTTGTTCATATTTGTGCCATATATAAATATGTTGCTGGCAATATTTTCTGGTGCTTTTTTTAACACATTAAACAGAAATGCATTATAGAATAGAACAGAAGGGAATTTCAAAGTATTATAAATATAGGATTAGGAAACTTGCCAGCAATATCTATTGCTGACAGCTGACTTTATTAAAGTTCATCAGCATTAATTGCCTCATTGTTGAATGACTTTTGCATGTAATTATCACCAGTCTAAACACAGATTGCCTCAGGTACAGTATCTAATGTGATCATGCATTCTGAATCCTATTAAAATAGCCAAGATATAGCAGAAATTATTCTCTCCCTACCAGCAAAGAAGTGGAAGAAGCAACAGAAACAGGGGGAATTTATTTTGTTCAATCTAAACAGTGTTCTCTATCTCATTCCAATATTTCCAACAATACTTTGGTGCCATGGATGCTGAAGCAAGACTTAAGAGATGCCAATTCAATACCAGTGTCATTTATCTCAAGGACAAGTGAAAACTCCTGTGCCCCACTAGAAAGACAATGCCCGAGGCATGATTGCTAAAATGGGCTTTAAACGTCATGCTATATTTTAATAGACAGAAAGATGGATACATCAATGTCTAAAATAATAATTCTTAGATTATATTTATCAGAACAAGGAAAGGCTTGAATTGTAATTTGAAGTCTAAGTTCCAGTACTGTGAGCTAATATCCAAGGAGAGAGGACACATTGCTCCTTCTTTGAACTTCTATGCTGTTTTAAGATGTTTTCAAGATCTAAAGGCTCAGCATCAAAGACAAAATTTCATACTTTTTTTACACCTTCCTAAAATCTTCACACCATATTACTATCCCATTCCCAAACCCTACTTTCCCAATAAAAAATAAATAAATTCAATTTCTATTCTCTTTTCTCAATGTGCCAGCTCTTTTGAGACTGAACAGAATATACTCTACTCTTTGGAATCATTACATGCAATAGACACATGAAGGATTTTTTTTTAAATGAAATGGAATAAAAATTTTGCAATTTACCTTGCAGATTTATTTAAAGTCTTCAAAAGGATAGTCTTAAAAGCTTCAATATCATCTTAGAAATGAGTTGCTCATCATAGCAAATGCCGTAAATGTCAAATACCCACCATTCTCATGCATATGCCTCCTTATATGCACACCTACCTATTACCAGCCAGGCTTCTGGAGTGACTTTTCAGAGACATTCATATTCAAGATTGTGTTTCAGCCACAGATTTAACAGCAATGGGTTTCAAAACTATTACACAGTATTTAGAAAAACAGCATGAAAGCCTATGTTGAATATGGACTTTCAGCACAGAAAAAAAGATTTTACTATGGAACACAGACAGCTTCAGAAATTCTACAGTCTTTTTAAATACTACTAAGCTGTTCTCCATTTGATGTTGTCTGTTGTCAAGGGCTTTTGCAGTTCTCTTGTAAGAAAAATAGCTGCAGAAATAAATGCTTGAATAAAGACAAAACTTGCTACATACTACCTTCCCTCACCCCTCCTCACATTGCTTTCTTTCACAAGTTTATTAACATTAATAACTGGAAGCACTGATGTAGCCTTTTAGGGTATTAGACCAAACCTGTAAATTAATGCATTGGTTCATCACAATTCATTAATCAAGCCTGTGCTGGATTTAACAGACAGCAGATTATTAAAGACACCAAATTACACAGACGAAAAAGCCCAGTTCCCAGAGGGTCAGCTGTAATGTGAATGGTTTTGCATAAAACCATAAACCTGCTATTAAATTAAAAACAGGCAAAAATTATGTCCACTGCTTATCTAAAGTAATTTTTTTT